CAGGACAAGGGGAGTCTATATTGGCCGTCTGTAACTATCAGCCGTCCCACCAATGGATACAGGAGGCCAATATAGACTCCCCTTGCCGTACAGAATCTGATTGGAGAATAGAACACTGACCTGGATATAAGACAACGCCTCGCATAAAAACGCTAAGAATACAAGGAAAGTATCACACACAAAAAAAGAATACGGATAATTAAGGGTTAATGCCCCGCCCCGAGGTGAATATGGTGTGATAAAGCCTTGTCAGTTGCTATAACCACAGAATAAAGCCACCAAGTGAGCGCAGCGAACGAGGTGGCTTTATGAGGTGGTTATAGCAACTGACAAGGCTTTATCACACCATATTCACCGAGAAAGGGCGGGACATTAACGCTATTATCATATAGCTTACACGATAGCCTATCCAAACTGATGCAGTAAGTGACACAATGCACATGCTGAATAGAACATAGAACATAGTTCCATATGGAGTCACCTTAGGTCACTGGGTAGAGTTCACGTTAACTGGGTCATGGGCAGGGAACAGGTGTTCTTATGGGAGTCACCCGAGGTCATTAGAACACAACTTAAGTTATTTTTGGATCTTTTAGAACTAGAGCCGTGTTCTATTGGGTCACCTGAGGTCATATGCGGGTGATTATTGGGTTTGTTTAATGTATGGATTGGGATGAATAAATACCCGATTTTGACTCTATTTGTGACATTACGGCGACATAAGGAATGTGGAATAGAGCCTTCTGATTGGTCAACGCCACCCGGCTATATGATAATATTACTTATTGTCATTTCTATAATTCCTATTCTTCGAACTGAAAAGTATATCGGGATATTCTCTGGTACAGACACACTGTATATACAAATGTACAATGATACTGTGTACACAAATGGTACATTCAACTACCCCCCTAACATTTGCTTTGATAACCCCCTGCTGCGCCCCCCCCAGGGTTATTTATTTCTCCAATGACCTTGAGGTGGGGTTGTTAAATGATACGTGTGCTAAAGCCCCCCTCCTACATGTATACCTACCTGTCCCCCCGACACCGTCCACTCCACAGCTGTGATTTTGCCAACAACACCGGCGCTATCGAGCCTGTACCACTCTGGGGAGGGGGGCAATTAACGCCGCTAATTGAGTGACCTTGTCAGGCACGTGACCCCGGCAACGTCTTTGATGCCCGGTGGTTGCCATGGAAACTAAGAAGCGAGACAAAGACGACATTAATTCCTACCGATGTGTTTGAAGTGGGGAGTAAGGAGATCCAGATTGATTTGCTAAGTGGACTGATTGTTCAGTATCGGGCACCCGAAACGAATGCGGGGCAGTAAAACTGGGTTTTCTGGTCATTCATTTTTTATTTAATATGGTAATTTAAATGTTGACGCAAAATTAAATGCAATATTGCTTAAGGAAAACGGCTGCTTGTTTCGTATCGTAAGCTGGTTCGATCTACCTATTTACCTTTATGATATTGAAATTTACTGTATTTCTCAGTACATTTTCGTCATCGTTCCATACTTTAAGTGTGTAAAATACCCCCAAAACAGCGAAGAGTCCCTTTTTTGATACCACCAATAAATAACTAGAACCACCCTACGATACGAACAAGCAACTGTTTTCCGTCAGCGACATCACATTTTTGCCTCAGATATATCAGTATGCTGTGGGATAGGGTTGATTCAACTTATCACATTAAAAATATGGGCAGATAAATGACATTGAAAATCCAATTTTATTACCCCCAGATCATGAAAGAGCCCTTATCCCACTATAAAATTGTCCGGATCGAACCGAATTGATTCGGCTTCGAGACGGATGAAAGCGAATCGACTCGATCCGGACAATTTTATCCTAGTGAGAATGGGGAGGAAGCTTGATGTACCGCCGGGTTGGCAGGTGCAGGTAGACGGAATGTCGTCAGCTAACGTAAACCAGACCTGACCGGTTAGGACCATGGCCTGAGGGGACGTGGGGAGGGGGGCGCGGCAGGAAGGCATTCCCAGAAATGTACAGGACACCATTAGTAAGTCCCATAAGTTTTATCGCCAATTATAAACCCTCACGAAACCGCACAGCGCGCCACTTAAAAAAACACAAGAGAACAAACAAAAGTAGTTATCAGATATTTAACGACTTTTGCTCAGTTCAAGGCCACATGGACTTCTGGGCACTGAACTAACGCTCACTATAGTCAAAAACATTAAGTAGAAACATTGTGGAACCCCCCTTTATGTCATTCCAGCTTTGTTCAGTCATATAAAGTAATCCACAATTTATCACATGTTTCTCAATACAATTTACAATCATATAACGTCTACCTTACATTTCATATTTACATTACATAATAAAACGCTAGCCCTTTTGTCGTCTGTTCGCA